CAGCTCTACATATCTAAACTGTCCCAATCATACCACATTCTACCAATGTGATTGTGAATACTGCGCAAAAAGATACTGTAATAACTCCTAATTTATGTTAAAAGTCCAATTCATTTTAGGAGTTTGCTATCAATTAAAACAGAAGTTTTGACATGTTCTGTGCAATACGAAAACAAAATCTCTGAGAAAAGCTGCACTTCCTGCTTCAACACAACAATATTGATTGAATTCTCAGTGAACCAGCCTGTTTTCTTGTTTTCGCTGCTCATAAATCCAACCACCTGTCAGTCTTTCAGCAAGATGGGAACGAGAGCGCTGGGGAAAAATATCCCAATCAATATTCTGCATAATTTTTCAGTGCAATTATTCTGGCACCGAAATGACAATGAGCGGTGAGGATACTTTGCATATACATTTTAAGCAGTTATCATAATGAATGTGCTGGGTACGAAGTCTGATCATCCTTTGTAAAATAGTGTTATCAAGCTAACCAGGAGAGATTAGTCGAGCAAAATTGCTTTTGATAAAGTCCTGGCCAGCACTTTTGATTGGATTCATTGGAACTATAATGTGGAACATCTAAAGTTGTTACACGTTGCTTTGTCCTTCAATTAACTTTCAAAAGGTGCTTAAAAAGGTCAATAAAATCCATGTTATTTCTCAGTGGGTGACAAAATCATTGCTAATCTGTAACAAAGACATTATTGCAGTATCTTTATATAATAAGAATAAGAGCACCTCCTCCCAGCTACCCACTGCACTGAGGCTAGGAAACACTGTCACCACCGATAAATCTACGATAATCGAGAATTTCAATAAGCATTTTGCTACGGCTGGCCATGCTTTCCACCTGGCTACCCCTACCCCGGCCACCAGCTCTGCACCCCCGCTTCTCCTTCACCCAAATTCAGATAGCTGATGTCCTGAAAGAGCTGCAAAATCTGGACCCCTACAAATCAGCTGGGCTAGACAATCTGGCTTTCTTTCTAAAATTAGCCGCCGAAATTGTCGCAACCCCTATTACTAGCCTGTTCAACCTCTCTTTCGTATCGTCTGAGATCCCCAGAGATTGGAAAGCTGCCGCGGTCATCCCCCTCTTCAAAGGGGGTGACACTCTAGATCCAAACTGTTACAGACCTACAGTAGGGAAAAAAGTATTTAGTCAGCCACCAATTGTGCAAGTTCTCCCACTTAAAAAGATGAGAGAGGCCTGTCATTTTCATCATAGGTACACGTCAACTATGACAGACAAATTGAGGAAAAAAAATCCAGAAAATCACATTGTAGGATTTTTAATGAATTTATTTGCAAATTATGGTGGAAAATAAGTATTTGGTCACCTACAAACAAGCAAGATTTCTGGCTCTCACAGACCTGTAACTTCTTCTTTAAGAGGCTCCTCTGTCCTCCACCCGTTACCTGTATTAATGGCACCTGTTTGAACTTGTTATCAGTATAAAAGACACCTGTCCACAACCTCAAACAGTCACACTCCAAACTCCACTATGGCCAAGACCAAAGAGCTGTCAAAGGACACCAGAAACAAAATTGTAGACCTGCACCAGGCTGGGAAGACTGAATCTGCAATAGGTAAGCAGCTTGGTTTGAAGAAATCAACTGTGGGAGCAATTATTAGGAAATGGAAGACATACAAGACCACTGATAATCTCCCTCGATCTGGGGCTCCACGCAAGATCTCACCCCGTGGGGTCAAAATGATCACAAGAACGGTGAGCAAAAATCCCAGAACCACACGAGGGGACCTAGTGAATGACCTGCAGAGAGCTGGGACCAAAGTAACAAAGCCTACCATCAGTAACACACTATGCCGCCAGGGACTCAAATCTTGCAGTGACAGACGTGTCCCCCTGCTTAAGGCAGTACATGTCCAGGCCCGTCTAAAGTTTGCTAGAGTGCATTTGGATGATCCAGAAGAGGATTGGGAGAATGTCATATGGTCAGATGAAACCAAAATATAACTTTTTGGTAAAAACTCAACTTGTCGTGTTTGGAGGACAAAGAATGCTGAGTTGCATCCAAATAACACCATACCTACTGTGAAGCATGGGGGTGGAAACATCATGCTTTGGGGCTGTTTTTCTGCAAAGGGACCAGGACGACTGATCCGTGTAAAGCAAATAATTAATGGGGCCATGTATCGTGAGATTTTGAGTGAAAACCTCCTTCCATCAGCAAGGGCATTGAAGATGAAACGTGGCTGGGTCTTTCAGCATGACAATGATCCCAAACACACCGCCCGGGCAACGAAGGAGTGGCTTCGTAAGAAGCATTTCAAGGTCCTGGAGTGGCCTAGCCAGTCTCCAGATCTCAACCCCATAGAAAATCTTTGGAGGGAGTTGAAAGTCTGTGTTGCCCAGCGACAGCCCCAAAACATCACTGCTCTAGAGGAGATCTGCATGGAGGAATGGGCCAAAATACCAGCAACAGTGTGTGAAAACCTTGTGAAGACTTACAGAAAACGTTTGACCTGTGTCATTGCCAACAAAGGGTATATAACAAAGTATTGAGAAACTTTTGTTATTGACCAAATACTTATTTTCCACCATAATTTGCAAATAAATTCATTAAAAATCCTACAATGTGATTTTCTGGATTTTTGTTCCTCATTTTGTCTGTCATAGTTGACGTGTACCTATGATGAAAATTACAGGCCTCTCTCATCTTTTTAAGTGGGAGAACTCGCACAATTTGTGGCTGACTAAATACTTTTTTCCCCCACTGTATATCCATCCTGCCCTGCCTTTCGAAAGTATTTGAAAGCCAAGTTAACAAACAGATCACCGACCATTTCGAATCCCACCGTACCTTCTCCGCTATGCAATCTGGTTTCCGAGCTGGTCATAGGTGCACCTCAGCCACTTTCAAGGTCCTAAACGATATAATAACCGCGATCGATAAAAGACAGTACTGTGCAGCCGTCTTCATCGACCTGGCCAAGGCTTTTGACTCTGTCAATCACCGCATTCTTTGGCAGACTAAATAGCCTTGGTTTCTCAAATGACTGCCTTGCCTGGTTCACCAACTACATCTCAGACACAGTTCAATGTGTCAAATTGGAGGGTCTGTTGTCTGGACCTCTGGCAGTCTCTATGGGGGTGCCACAGGAATCAATTCTCGGGTCGACTCTATTCTCTGTGTATATCAATGATGTCGCTCTTGCTGCTGGTGACTCTCAGATCCACCTCTACGCAGACGACACCATTTTGTATACATCTAGCCTTTCATTGGACACTGTGTTAACAAACCTCTAAATGAGCTTCAATGTCATACAACACTCCTTCCGTAGCCTCCAACTGCTCTTAAACGCTAGTAAAACTAAATGCATGCTCGTCAATCGAACGCTGCTTGCATCCGCCCGCCCGACTAGAATCACTACTCTCGGCGAGTCTGACTTAGTATATGTGGGCAACTACAAATGCCTAGGTGTCTGGTTAGATCATAAACTCTCCTCCAAACTCACATTAAGCATCTCCAACCCAAAGTTAAATCTAGAATCGGCTTCCTATTTTGCAAACAAAGCCTCCTTCACTCATTTTGCTAAACATGCCAAAATGCAAATTGGATGTAGTCTATCACAGTGCCATCTGTTTTGTCACCAAAGCCCCATATACTACCCACCATTGTGACCTGTACACTCTCGTTGGCTGGCCCTCACTACATATTTGTCGCCAAACCCACTGGCTCCAGGTCATCTATAAATCACTTCTAGGCAAATCCCTGCCTTATCTTAGCTCATTGGTCACCATAGCAACACCCACCCATAGTATGAGTTCCAGCAGGTATATCTCACTGGTCATCCCCAAAGCCAACACCTCCTTTGGCCGCCATTCCTTCCAGTTCTCTGTTGCAAATGACTGGAACGAACTGCAAAGATCTCTGAAGCTGGAGACTCTTATCTCCCTCAATAACTTTAAGCATCAGTTGTCAGAACAGCTTACCGATCACTGCACCTGTACACAGCCCATCTGTAATTAGCCCACCCAACTACCTCATCCCCATATTGTTATTTACATTGTTATTTATTTTGCTAATTTGCACCCCAGTATCTCTATTTGCACATCATCTTCTGCACATCTATCACTCCAGAGTTAATACTAAATTGTAATTATTTTGCACTATGGCCTATTTATTGCCTTACCTCCATAACTTACTACATTTGCACACACTGTATATAGATTTTCTATTGTGTTATTGACTGTACGTTTTGTTTATTCCATATGTAACTCTGTGTTGTTGTTCTTTTATCGCACTGCTTTGCTTTATCTTGGCCAGGTCGCAGTTGTAAATGAGAACTTGTTCTCAACTGGCTTACCTGGTTAAATAAAGGTGAAAAAAATTAAATAAAAACATCTTTACCACAGTATTCACATAAAGATACCTACATACTCCACGATTTTCATAATCTTACAGTATATATAACCTTCACACTATGAAAAGCAACTAGGTGTTTGTGCAGTGTGGGACGCTGTACAAACATGACATTTAAGGCGGCAAATATTGTGTAGTGTGAAAGACTTCGTAATTAGGGATAAGAGCATTATGATGTCAAGGGTTAAATTGTGTGTTTGTGAACTGACTTCCTTTCATGGGCATCAAAGCTGAGGTGGACAATGCTCCAGTCACATTTAGGGGACAAAAGTCTCTTTTCACACTTTGAGAGCCTCAAACTCTGAACTCGATTACAGCAATACACACACACACACACACATCACATCACAGCCATAGAAAAAATCCCCAAATCCTTCAGAAGTAGACAGAAATCCATTTCCAACTTGGATTCGCGCAAACTGTGGACTTAATCGCTGGCCAGATAAGGGCTTGTTTGCTGCAGATAAGACAAGCCATCAAGCCACCGCGACACATGTGCCATAGATTGTGATTTGCTTCTGGGCCACCATGGTTAGAGGGAATGTAAGGACAAACAGCTCTAACCTTGGAAAACACTCAGACACTCAAAGCCATGTAAAAATCCCACTCACGTCAATGACAGTCCACTGCTCCACAACGATGGCGTCATACGTGGTGGTCACACTCTGGTCACCGCCCTCCGTCCCCTCTTGGAAGATGAAGACGCTTTCCACCAACTTAGGCTGCAAATCTGTAGAAAATGGAGAGAGAGGTCATGCAAAGATGAGAGGGAAGTTAATGACATTACGCAGCCAACCAGCAACCCACACACACTGGGCCATTTATTACCAGGCAGGGCTGCAGCATGGACCGTTTGTATAAGCAAGGGCCAGATATGGATTATGTAGCTATGACTGAACAAGAGAGAAGGAAGAGAGGGTGGGGGGGAGAAGAATGTTTCCTTCAGGGAAGAGGCTTGGAGAGACTATAGATGAACAGACAGACAGTATGGACTGATTGTTGAAGTATAACACGATTCATCTAAAAACAATTATATGCTTTACATATTGTAGATATTTACATGTAAGGACTAATACACCAAGACAAGGCCATGGTACCATAAAATAGCTTTTCTATAGACTCGATTTAATTTAAACCCCATGGATAAGGGTAACATTCACAGTTTGGGCATTATTGGGATAGGAAAATTGGCAAGCTGGTGAGCTTCTTCTCCATCCCGAATGTCTTTTGATTCCATTGAGCAGTGTGCTAGAACCTCTGGCCCTTCAGACCAGGGCTCTCAGTTGGCCTGAATGCTTTCTCATTACTCCTGTACCATTTACACACTAATAGAGTTTGTACGGCCCAGGCTCCACCATGAGACACTCCACTTTTCATTACTCTGTCCTAATAATGGGGGAACAAGGGCCGGTTGGAGAGGGAGGGACGACAGGCTCCTTTATTCCCCCCCAGAAAACCCATTTAAGGCTGCTGGGCACGCTCAATTGAAGACATCTCTCAGACATGTATTGGCTCCTTTCAAATACAGACATTGTCGTTGTTCATTCCCCCCTCTCCCGCCCTCCCTCCTTCCTCCACCCTACCCCTCCTTTACATTCCCCTCATCTATCGTTCATCAGACGTCTCCCTGCTTGGCGTGTAATTGGAAAGCCCTCTTGGAGATTGGGTTGGCCTGATGGTTCCCTGCCGATGCACTGGGATCACTCAGGTGAGATGCACACAGGGATTGAGTCTCTTTGCTTTAGGAGGAACACACTGCCTCCTGGCCTGATGCTGCCAGACACTGAGGCACCGTGGGGTTGAGAGGTTTGGGGGATATGTAGTGCCAACACAAATAACAGCATAACATTTTGAGTTGAGTCTTGACTGACAATGTATTGAGTGAAACAGAAGCTTGGAGGGAAATACAATGGCTTGCGAAAGTATTCACCCCCCTTGGCATTTTTCCTATTTTGTTGACTTACAACTGTCACGATCGTCTTCAAAAGGAGTAGTAGACCAAGGCGCAGCGTGTGAAAGAAACATGACTTTATTTAATTAAAGTATCTAAATACAAACAAAACACGATTCGTAAAGTCCAACGGTTACACTGACCGACTAAGGAACAAAAACCCACAAACACAAGGTGAAGACACACAGTTTAAATATGGCTCCCAATCAGAGATAACGAGCCGACAGCTGACACTCGTTACCTCCGATTGGGAGTCACTCCATACAAACATAGACATCGACAACCTAGACACCCAACATAGAACATGAACACATTGAATGCACACACCCTGGCTCAACATAATGAGTCCCAGAGCCAGGGTGTGACAGTACCCCCCCCTAAAGGCGCGGACTGCGACCGCGCCTCAACTAAACAAAACAGGGGAGGGCTGGGCGGGCATACCTCCTCGGTGGCGGTTCTGGCTCCGGCCTAGACCACCACCCTCCGATACACCCCCCAAAGTACCCCTGGTCCTGTCTAGCCCCGCTGGCCGGAGCCGGACTGACGACACGCGCCCCTGGCTTGGTGCGTGGAACAGGAATGGACCGGAATGGGCTGGCGACGCGCACCACAGACCTGGTGCGGAGAGCAGGAACGAGCCGGACAGGGCTGACGACGCACCCCGTAGGCCTGGTGCGTGGAGGAGGAACGGGCCTTACCAGGCTGACGACTCGCACCCCTGGCTTTGTGCGTGGAGGAGGAACGGGCCTTACCAGGCTGACGACTCGCACCCCTGGCTTTGTGCGTGGAGGAGGAACGGGCCTTACCAGGCTGACTTCTCGCACCCCTGGCTTAGTGCGAGTGGCAGGAACAGGCCGGACCGGGCTGGCGACGCGCACCGTAGGTTTGGTGCGAGTGGCAGGAACAGGCCGGGTCGGGCTGGCGACGCGCACCGTAGACTTGGTGCGGGTGGCAGGAACAGGCCGGACCGGGCTGGCGACGCGCACCGTAGGTTTGGTGCGAGTGGCAGGAACAGGCCGGGTCGGGCTGGCGACGCGCACCGTAGACTTGGTGCGGGTGGCAGGAACAGGCCGGACCGGGCTGGCGACGCGCACCGTAGGTTTGGTGCGAGTGGCAGGAACAGGCCGGGTCGGGCTGGCGACGCGCACCGTAGACTTGGTGCGGGTGGCAGGAACAGGCCGGACCGGGCTGGCGACGCGCACCGTAGGTCTAGTGCGTGGAACAGGGACAGGCCGGGCTGGGCTGGCGACGCGCACCATTAACTTAGTGCGGGGAGCAGGAACGGGCCGGACCGGACTGGTGACGCACACCACTTGCTTGGTGTGAGGAGCGGGACTGGGTTTCTTCATAACCCTCCGCTCCCTCAGCTGCCTACACAGTTCCTCTCGCCGTGCCTCTACTCTCACCCTCTCCCTTATCGCCTCCAGTACCCACGTCGTCCATGCCCTGTGCCCCCCCCTAAAAATATCTTGGGGTTGCTTCTCGACCTTCCAACTTTGACCCGTTTGCCGCCGCTGCTCCTCTCTACGGCGCGCCTCCCATGTCCAGGCTGCCTGCTCCTGGACACGCTGCTTGGTCCTTTTATGGTGGGTTTTTCTGTCACGATCGTCTTCAAAAGGAGTAGTAGACCAAGGCGCAGCGTGTGAAAGAAACATGACTTTATTTAATTAAAGTATCTAAATACAAACAAAACACGATTCGTAAAGTCCAACGGTTACACTGACCGACTAAGGAACAAAAACCCACAAACACAAGGTGAAGACACACAGTTTAAATATGGCTCCCAATCAGAGATAACGAGCCGACAGCTGACACTCGTTACCTCCGATTGGGAGTCACTCCATACAAACATAGACATCGACAACCTAGACACCCAACATAGAACATGAACACATAGAATGCACACACCCTGGCTCAACATAATGAGTCCCAGAGCCAGGGTGTGACAACAACCTGGAATTAAAATGGATTTTTGGGGGGTTTGTATCATTTGATTTACACAATATGCCTACCACTTTGAAGATGCAAAATATTTTTTATTGTGAAACTTGAGCGTGCATAACTATTCACCCCCCCAAAGTCAATACTTTGTAGAGCCACCTTTTGCAGCAATCACAGCTGCAAGTCTATTGGGGTATGTCTCTATAAGCTTGGCACATCTAGCCACTGGGATTTTTGCCCATTCTTCAAGGCAAAACTGCTCCAGCTCCTTCAAGTTGGATGGGTTCCGCTGGTGTACAGCAATCTTTAAGTCATACCACAGATTCTCAATTGGATTGAGGTCTGGGCTTTGACTAGGCCATTCCAAGACATTTAAATGTTTCCCCTTAAACCACTCAAGATTTGCTTTAGCAGTATGCTTAGGGTCATTGTCCTGCTGAAAGGTGAACCTCCGTCCCAGTCTCAAATCTCTGGAAGACTGAAACAGGTTTCCCTCAAGAATTTCCCTGTATTTAGCATGTTTGCTTATTTTATTTATTTAAGAAATGGCTTTTTTCTGGCCACTCTTCCGTAAAGCCCAGCTCTGTGGAGTGTAAGGCTTAAAGTGTTCCTATGGACAGATACTCCAATCTCTGCTGTGGAGCTTTGCAGCTCCTTCAGGGTTATCTTTGGTCTCTTTGTTGCCTCTCTGATTAATGCCCTCCTTGCCTGATCCGTGAGTTTTGGTGGGCGGCCCTCTCTTGGCAGGTTTGTTGTGGTGCCATATTCTTTCAATTTTTTAATAATGGATTTAATGGTGCTCCGTGGGATGTTCAAAGTTTCGGATATTTTTTTATAACCCAACCCTGATCTGTACTTCTCCACAACTTTGTCCCTGACCTGTTTGGAGAGCTCCTTGGTCTTCAAGGTGCCGCTTGCTTGGTGGTGCCACTTGCTTAGTGGTGTTGCAGACTCTGGGGCCTTTCAGAACAGGTGTATATATACTGAGATCATGTGACACTTAGATTGCACACAGGTGGACTTTATTTAACTAATTATGTGACTTCTGAAGGTAATTGGTTGCACCAGATCTTATTTAGGGTCTTCATAGCAAAGGGGGTGAATATATATGTACGCACCACTTTTCCATTATTTATTTTTTAGAATTTTTTGAAACAAGTTATTTTTTTCATTTCACTTCAGCAATTTTGACTATTTTGTGTATGTCCATTACATGAAATCCAAATAAAAATCCATTTAAATTACAGGTTGTAATGCAACAAAATAGGAAAAACGCCAAGGGGGATGAATACTTTTGCAAGGCACTGTACAATGTGTTCATTTGCAATGGGACAATGAATTCTCATTGACTAGCCTATCCCCTCCAGGCACCTGAGGTTGAACATACTGAGTGAGAAGTGCACATACTATCTCTGACACAGAGAGAGTGAACTGAAAGGCAATGACGGTGTGATTTGACACGGACTGACACGAAGCACAACCTAACTAGAGCCCATTGACAACCAGTGACAGGGAGTGGACTGAAGACAGGCACTAAGTGACAAAGTGACTGATGCTAGGTTGACATAGACTTTGGAGGAGAGACACAAAGGAGTAAAAAACAGGGGGGGAATCTAAAGTCCTATTGACCACAGAAGCAACCAAATGACCCTGCCCCAAGTCATGTCTGTTACTGACATGATTTAAACATATGCGCTTAGCACTGCCGGGGAGAACAGAAGACAGGGCTGTGAAAGCTTATCTATATTTTAAAACAGGACAGACAGGAATCCAGAGAGAGAAGGAGTGATATAGAAAGAGTGGGGTTACTAATGTGTGTGGATTGGCCAGGGCTTTCCTCCTATGAGCCAAAGGTTTGGAGGCTGGGGGCCACGTACCTGTGGTTACCGGGCAGACTTCTGGTTGTAGCTAGGGGAATATGACAGGAATACTGTACCCTGCCTTACACAAAGGCATATACATCCAAAATCACATTCACAGTCAGTGGTGTAAAGTACTTAAGTACAAATACTTTAAAGTACTACTTAAGTAGTTTTTTGGGGAATCTGTACTTTACTATTTCTATTTTTGACAACTTTTACTCCACTACATTCCTAAAGAAAATAATGTATTTTTTACTCCATGCTGTAAGGTTGTGTATTTATTTTCTTAGTCAACCTTGTGTTCTTGAACGTAGCCCTGTCTTTCATTTTTGTTCATTGATTTCCTCACCTGGTCTCATTATCTCCTTATTTAGTTCAGTTCATTCTGTTTGTGCCTTGTATTGTTCGTTTTGACTCTACTAAGCTTTTTCCTAGCTCGTTTGTGAGAACCAGTTATAGCCTTCAGTCCTAGTTTTTGATTCTCCTGCCTGTTTGCATACCTGTGTATGACCATTGCCTGCCTGTGACCACGATTCCTGCCTTCTGGGAAGGCGTAATAAACACCTGCCGCACTCTGCGCGGGAATCTACACCTTTTTCTCCCTGAGTATTCATTACACATGCGTTACATTTTGAATTCTTAGCAGGACAGGAAAATGGTCCATTCACACACTTATCAAGAGAAGATCCCTCGTCATCCCTCCTGCCTCTGATCTGGCCGACTCACTATACACAAATGCTTTGTTTGTAAATCATGTCTGAGTGTTAGTGTACGGCTGGCTATCCGTAAAAAAACTAACAAGAAAATCGTGCCGTCTGGTTGCTTTATATAAGGAATTTGAATTGATTTATACTTTTACTATTGATACTAAAGTATATTTTAGCAATTACATTTAGTTTTGATACTTACGTATATTTAAAACAATACTTTTAGACTTTTTCGCAAGTATTTCACTGGGTGACCTTCACTTTTACTTGAGTCATTTTCTATTAAGGTATCTTGACTTTTACTCAAGTATGGCAATTGGGTACTTTTTCCACCACTGCTCACAGTCATGCACATACGCATGCGTACACACACACACAGGCCTTCAAGCCCTATTGCACAATCAATCTTTGGCCATGAAAAATGCCAGCACAACTTTCATCAATTCTTTTCACTGTGAAGTAATACCTTCTGGGGAACTCTCTCTCTCTCCACCGGCTTTGCCTGAATACAGAAAGCCAAGCACTGTGCTAGCTGTCATGCATATGAATAGCTCAAATGTTTCACAGCGGCGGCTACAAATCCTCATTGTCGCGGCGGAGATAACGTAAGCTAAGTGTAACAAAGAAACTCCCAGTCAATGCCATTAGTGTCATCTCCCCAGTAAACAAACCGCTCCCCCTCAGAACTCCAGCCGCGGCGTAGCCATGTGGGGATGCATGGGCGCTGTGACACGCTGGGCTGGGTATGAATCTTTAATGCCTGTCTCATGACGCCGCAAGGTGGCGGGGCCGTTAACGTTACACAGGAGTTGCCTGCCAATGCCACAATCTGCAAATTCAATAACAAACTAATATCCAACCCTCCGTGCCAGCGAGGTCTCTTTCTCTCTGAACCCACTCCCACCATTCTCCCAGCTCCATCCCACCTAGCCACGCCGGGATATTAAACAGGACTTATGCCCCCCTCCCACCTCTCCGCCTCCTCAGTGAGCTTCACCATGGAAACCCATCTTTTCAGGGGCGAGGGCAGAGGAGCAGGAGGAGAGACAGTATGTGTGTCGACAGCCAGCCACAATCGGGAGGTAGCGCCGGGTTTATCAAAAGGCCAGCCGAGCAGGGGGAATTCATGAATATGTATTCGAAGAGGCGTAGGACTATAGGAGTAAACAAGTACAGAACAATGGCGGGAAACTTTACATGGCAGAGAGATGATTCCTCTGTAACTAGAAGGGTACAGGGAGTTACATAGTTCTTATCATTGTTAATTCTGTTTTCAAAGAAAACCTAAAGGGTTAACTGCCTACCGGTAACCACATTTGCTTGGCTTGTTTTAGGGTTGTTACATACATAAGTTATTCCACTGGCAGTTACTTTGGTAGGCCTATGATGTCATGCAAAGTGGGAGAAGATTGGGAAAGTAGGTGCACTACCAAACAGTTCAGAGGAAGACCTCAACAACAAGACCTCTTTCAGAAAACAACAAAAGAGACATAAAAAAAACAAGGCATAAGAGGACATTGCAGAGTATTAGTACACCGTTTTATTGCACTACATCCGAGACAGATGACAGGATGACAATCAGAAATACTTATTGTGCACTTCTGGTGCTCTGCTGTGACTGTCATTATAATCTCCAATCAAACTGAGTGTCATCGCCACTGACACGCTACATCTTTTATTGTGGTGCTTCACATTCCAGAATGCCCTTGATGTTTATAGAGAGTACATGGTCTCAAGCGTCAGGGAGAAGAGTTTCTTCTCATACTCTAATGTATTCAGAAATGGATCTCAAAGAGGTGCTAAATTTGGAGTTGTCTGCATGGCCATGGGTTCTCAGGCTTGTTAAAACCAGACGCTCCTCCGTTTGATGTAATTAGCAACAAACACGTGATGTTGCCGTGGCTTTGATATCCTACCGTTCACAGTTCCCAAGAGGGTCACACGAACACAACGTTCACCAAGACAAACTTGTTTGTTTTTAAAAGGGTTTGGCAGGCATGCATTGGCAGGCTGTTCCCTTTACAGTATACTTGACAAGCTATTTCTGATAGAGAGCTGACATTTCCAGAGCAATACAGAACACGGCCTAGCCTATATTTATTTTTATAATACACTCATTCTGTAATAAAAGATGCATATCTTAACCACACATAAAAATGCTAAATATTTTACAATAACCTAATAGAAAAAAGGAATTATAATAACGTGGTCCATTACCACATTCTAAAGAGATAAAATATTCAAGGAGGCACTCATTTGCCATCAGGTTAATTATCTGTGTTCAGAGGCGCTGATGCGTTCACTTTAGGAGATTAATGAATTATGACTCTTATTTACTTAAACTGGGGGTTTTCGTCACCATCAGGATTAAGTGGCATGCCCCAGGGTCTAGACGTAGAGTGCAATGTGCTGTAGAGGAGTAGTACAGCACACTATCAGAACAACAACAACATTACAGACTGAACAGTTTGAAAGGGGACAGGATATGGAGACATTTTCGCAATAGCTAAGTAATAACTTGCCTTGTCGTCTTAAAAAAAAAAAAAGTTTTACATTATTTACTCATGTGGAACAAAATAAGAGGTTTGCCAGGCGGATTTTTCCATAACTACTTTGCTAGTACTATACCATAACAGAACAGATGTTAAATAAAAATGTGATGTGTGTAAAAACATGAAGTGAACATGGATAGTTTGTTTACCGTTGTCGTTGCCCAGGTGGAAGTATCCATCAACAAGTGAGGCCCCGTTATTGAAGTGCTGGGTCATGTGATCCAGCCAGTTGGCCTCCACCCCTTTGCCCCCCTCGTCACGGAGTTGAACCCTCAGCGGTACCTTCACAGTGTAGTACTTCAGTTGGCCCTCACGGTCAGTTGGGTGGTTGAACAGGGCTAGCAGATCCACCCCTGAAAACACAGAACACTCAATCTCAATCTCTACAGATTGTGCTGACATGAAACATGTCATGCAACAGAGATTTATAACGTGACAGAGTTGATAGCCTCTAACAGAGGTGATTTATAACACTTAACAGAGTTGACTCATACCCTGTAACATAGGTGATTAATAACACATAACAGACTTTACTCATATTTTTCCACAATCCCCTACCAAAGGCTTGTGCCTCAATTGAAATGGTCCTCCTTTAATATGGACCAATGCATACAAATTTGGATGGACTTTTGTTTTGGCAGCAGCCATTTAAATCAAGCATTATCTTCTATTTTTAATGCAAATATCTGCCATTCCCATGTGAACCAGATGGAGGGCCAGAATGTGTTAGACTCCCACACACGAAGACTCACAAAAGACACAGGCGCGCACACACACACACACACACACACACCCACACAGGCACACACATACCCACACACACACAGAGTGCATCAGAGGGGACCATGGTTCAGTTGCTCTGGTTTTCTGTCTGTCAGTCAGTCAGTCAGTCAGACACCCAGGAAGAATGAATCATTTATAACCATTTCCTTTCTGCCACGTCTGACTGATGTGACAGCTGGCCTCCAAATCTTGTCGTTTTCCACTCTTCAAAGCTCCAGAATCACAACTGAATCACAATAATGCATTACAACTCTCCCTGCATACGTTAGAGAAACTACAAACTTATTGAAAACTAAGCTAAGTCAATACAACAAAGTCTCTCCACTAATCTTAATGTTTCAGTTTGTTTTCCCCCAAAAGAGTGAATTTAAATGAGGCTTTCACATAATATTAAAGTTGATGTTTACTTGTTCAAGGCCATCGGTTTTGAGGAACTGCTAGCTTCATCATTCCACTAAATGCTCTGTGTCTGCTATGTGTCACAGACCGTTCATCATTTATGCATAGCATAAAACCTTGCACTAATGCATCCGACTAAACCAGACAACTCAATGGTAATGCATTTAAATATAAGATAATCGTGGCAAAATGTATAACATACATGCTATTACAACATTTATAACAATTTGTAGCATATGTTATTTCCATTTGACAGCTAGCTTTGTATGCAAGGTTAAGTCTGAGCTACAGTAGAGGCAATACAATAATCCAGGGATCCATACATATCAGATCATTCCCACATAATAACCACTTCAAAATGCAACTGACTCAACAATTTTAGCATCATGGGCATCAAAGTTAAACAAATATTTTAGGATTGCCCTTGACTTGCCCTGAGATTAGGATGGTGATAACACACAGTAGGGTGTATCGGCTATGAAGACCTGCCACGCCGCAGTCACATGAAAGAGATCAGATGACAGACCTGCTATGAGACGTTACCTTGTGTGGTCCAATCATTTGAGAAAATGTACGACTAACGAGTAAATGAGCGCATGAACGCAATTACAACATTCCAAATGGGTCCCTTTAAGGTCAGATGGGTGCCCGTTCAAGTGATAAGGTCAGGCCCCATAACCCTAACTGATAACGTGGACTGTACAGAACCACTGTTGAACATGACAGCATCTGTTGTGCTAATCCACCCTCCTCAACACTGATTTAATCAGGACTAACATTTCATAATAAATGAATGCTCAAACCAACATGTAGGCAAGCTTTCTCTGCAACATGATTTTTAGTTGGAGAGTGGTTAGCTTCATACTGCTTAATTTCTAAGAGGTAATGCCAATAATGATGTGTGTGACCATTGTGATGTTTGTCCAATCTCTGCCTTTTTCATACTATCACTTCCTCCTCTCACACCTGTGATCCCACAGGAATGTTCTCAGCACTAGTTTCAATCACCTCAACACTCTTTGATGCAATTTTAGAGCATGTCGGTTTCAATTCTGGTCAGTCCCAGTTTCACTTCTGATGTTTGGCTTGTGACCCTGTTCCCTGTTCCACATTCTGCTGTTGTTTACTGTACACCTCCAGCTCTGGAATCAGGAGGATTATGGGGGCAAAGCCACCCAGAACTGAGACTTTGAGTCAATCTCAGCAGAGAGCGCATTAGCGAAGAGGACAAGGGCACTTGGCACATGGTGGCTATGCTGTTGTGGTGGTGTGGACTATGGTGGTTTGGGGATGAAGGAGGAGGGATAAGGCTGAGTGAGGTAGGGGGGGAGGACGAGTCAGTTGGGGATTATCTCACTGCAATACGCACTGGAGGGAGGTCCAGATGGACCAGGGTGCTGTGTCTATAGGGAGCCAAGCATGTATGGGCACACGCATGCACACACACACAGAGGGGTGCATTCAACACACATGCACATTTTATGAGCACGTTTTCCAACTGGGGTTGAAAGAGAATGTGTGAGAGAGGGAGAGAGAAAAAAAGAGAGAAGAGCTGTCCATCTGGTATTCTAAAATGCTGAAATATGCTAATTTAAGCCAACTTTATGCTGCACCACAGTGTGAGGAAATTGAAGAACCATTTATGCTGTTTCAAGTTGAATCTTGCCTGGCATACTGTATATGAATCCAATTACATAGTAACGAATGTAAATCTGACAATACTCACCATTGGCTCTCTGAGTGTGATGGCTTGGTTTCTCCTTCAGTTCTATGGTGTTCGTCTTGTTATTGTTGTGTGTCAGTGTGTCTTCCACTATAAGATCCTGATCGTGATCTTGCTCGCTCTCTGTGGATGGTGTTATGGGAAGAGAGGACCTCCCATCATGGTTGCTTTCCTCCACAGTAGTCTCACTCTCCCCAGTGTTCCCAGTCTGGCCCTCCCCCTCCCCACCCTTACATAAGGAGCCTTGGCCCTCATCGGCCCCAGTGTCCATCGCCTGCTCCTGGGCTTCTGGTTCTCCATGGATCCGGGGGCTAGTGGGGCTTCGGCTGCTCAGGGAGCCAAGCACAGAGCTGGGGCTGGAGTGGAGGGAGAGGGAGGGCGTCTCTGGTTCTCTGGTCTGGGTACCTCGTACTCCACACGGCTCCTGGATGAAGCCCACAAACATGACCCCCTGGTCTGCAGCATCCTGGATCTGCTGGAGAGACAGATAACAAACAACAACCTTAGAGAGATCCGTGGACGACCTGACTTTTACTATTACTATTTAATAATAACAATCTTTAACACTGTATGCTCTGTTATGATGGACTGTCAATTAAGATCATGTTGGCTAATCATGAGTAAGATCAAAGTTTTAGCTAGTGCTCAATGGACTTTCAAAAACATTTGTGATAACCTTGAAACACAACCTAGAACATAAGCACACATTGCTAGGTCGTGCCATTGTAGAACCATAGCTATTTTCCCCCCTGAATTTCCCTCATTTACTCCCTATTTTGTCAACCAAATGGATTCCAGGGGAACTGTTTACATACCTGGTATTTGCATGTAATTATAGAGCCACCCTCCCTCCCTCCACCCCTCTTCCCAGCATCAGCCATTCAAATTGAACTAGAGTTGATTGGATTGCAATGGCTCCAGCCCTGGCAGGACTGCAACCCAAATCAAGCATTGCTTTTCCCATTTCATTGTCATCTGGCATTTTATGTCAATATTTGGATATTCCATCAAATGAAATTGAAATGCTAACTGTCAAGCAATGTTAATGATGCCATTCTCCATTCACATTCTGTCATAAGATCCAGCCAGAGGCAGCACATTCTGCTATCTGCAGCCGGGGACCAGGAGAATCCAAATCAAATCAGCATAGGCGCCATGTCACAGGTGATCCTCTATGAATGAAATTGTAAAATAGTCACATCGTTTCCTAGCTGCATTGTTTAATATCTATTGAACGTTCGCTCAGCCCTTGCACATTTTTATTCCCAGCGAAATTGCAAAATGGAATTGCCAAGATGAAAATATTGTATCTCATTTGAGGGTAATGTTGCCAGTCAATGAGGGAGAGGGATCATTTCTACTGTGTGTGTGTGTGTGTTAATGTGAGTTAACTCAGGTGTGAAGGTAATGGATAGCCTTTGAAATGGTCCGCATTGAATGGAAAATCACACTATGGTATATTGCACATGCTCAGGTCAGAGAAACAGGTAAACATCATATGTTTCTGTTACATTGCTATTTATGATTACAAGCCTCTTTGCTTTTATCTGTGATATCTCAGTATATGATATGGTTATGGACATCAGCTTGCTTGAGAGTGATTAGTGCTAACATGTCTTCACTGCAGAATGAGAGCAGCCCTCTGTAAAGACTTACATTTTCCAGTTCTACATAGGCTACATATTTCCTATTTTCCAGATAGTAGAGAGAGTGCTCCAGGAGCCGAGAGTTTGAAGGTCAGAATGAAACTCTGGTCCTCAGGCGACTGGCCGGCTGAATTGATAACCCATTTCCACTCCCCAATGTTTCATTAAAACTAAGGACTAGCTGTGGAAATCGAGTCGAGATGAAACCCAACAGAAAATAGATTGTTTTTGCCCACAGGGCCTCTAGGACCTAGAGGATGGTCTGTTGTGTCCGTGATCTGAGTCCACTATACCCTTTTCACACTATCATGCCACCCGAACAAAACTGTGCTGGCTTAATATTTTCGTTCACGTCGGATGTCCTTTTCAGCACAGTTGTGGATGCCTAACCACTAACCAGCCCAGCTCAGTACAGCTTGGCTTGGCTCAGCTCGTCTCAATAGTGTCACAGGGCCTTATCTGAGGCTCACCTTCTTGAGGTAGCCCTGGATGAGCTCTGGGGTGGGCACCTGGTCGGCAGACAGACACTGTTCCAGCTGCAGACGGTAGGGAGCACAGCTTGACTGGCTCTTCTCCAACCTGCAGTAGCAGCCACACAGCGGGAGAGAGAGGAACAACACATTTCAGCCACAGTCATTTCAGTCAGACAATACAGACATACACCACATTCTGTAATACATATCTGAAATGGTGGCACAGAGAAATCCTTGAAAATAAAGTATTTATGGATTTGTGCAAGGGATTTATGCCCATCCATATTAATAAATCACATATGAGCCGTGTTTAATGTAATTGTTGGCCTGTATGACAGAAAAAAAAAAAAAAGAAGCACTTAAGTTAGACACAAATCAGGATTGAAAGGGGCACATTAGGGTGCGATAGGAAACTCAATGCAATACAAATCTTGTCTTGTTTATCCACTTATCAGTATTGTGGGTGGACGGAATCTATTGATATGGGTCTGTATTTTTCTATTTTCTCTGGAGGAAATCCCACAGCTAGCCCTGGAGGAGGCCAATGTCCCAGCTTCCATCACTCTGCTTCTCTTCTCATCCTGTTGACAACACGGATGGGGCCCCTCCACCCTCACCACAGCGTGTGTGTGTGTATCTACAGTATGTACCTGCATGTGTGTGTGTGTGTGTGTGTGTGTGTGTAAGGAGACTTTAAACATTATCACATGCAGCCCAGGCCTAACTCTCTCTCTCAGTCACACAGACTTCACAGCACAGCGGGAACCTGAGTCATCTCTCACAGTCAACAACACCCCACAGAAGTCAGACGTCACTGTCACACCAGTCACCCATCATTATTCAACTTATCCCAGATCAAATGTCAGTAGCAAACTATGTCAAGGAAAATCTGCACAGTGGATGCTCTGAATCATGTAGAGGTTTTTGGAAACTTACTGTGCAATTCACAGCACTGTGAAGCCTCAATGTAAAGGAAAACCGCTGAATTCTTGCTATTCGTTTTCCACGTTCTGTTATTGGAAATCATGAAAAGCAGACTGGATCTATATACTTGAGGAGGGCTCAAATCCATAAAGGACAAAGTGGGAGAAAAGTGCGTTCAAAAAGTGTCCCATTGCCTCTCTAGAGGCACGGACTTCTTTAAAAATAGCCCCATCACCTGCAGTCCATCTTCTCGGTGTGAAACAAGTAACTTGCATTCAGCCCCACAGTTCTGCTGTCTTCTGCCAGGCCACGTGTGGCTACAGTAAGTGTCAAACGCATGCCTGGCTCCAGCCTGCAGCCGGCCTGACTGCAGCCTCCTCCTGGGTATACGTCTGCCAGACTTCCCACTCTCTCTGCAGACTGCTGCTGCTATTTATTCAGCTGCACTGTCAGTCAGGTTCAACCGTTCAAGGTTCTGTATCCCGGACCACAGGGAGTATTAAAGGCACAGTCTGGGATTTGGAATCTGGGAATGGTTATTTAAATTATTGATATGTTGGGGCGTGTTGAAGTTTTTTGAATCCCAGAATGTAGCTTTAAACCCAGAAGCCCTCACATTGGGCGCCAAAATCGCAATTCCAAAAATCACAATCTCCATGACAACGGCTCGGTCGGGATCCACCATCGAACCTGTGTTTAGCAATCTTTCATCCCTGGCCTTTAATAATATAGCACATATTTTTCTAATGTCAGCTTTTCACAGAGTCATGAATAATTTCATTGGACGAATCTCCTCTAATGGTTTCTGGTCCATACAGCTCTCTCCCCGAGCGCATGTGAATGCTACAATTATCCAATAGATGATGAATATATCCCATCAGACACCGCCTGCTGAACTGTAACCCCGCTATGCCGCAACCTAATTTAACATTGGGAAATTTGACAGTTGACATTTGAAAATTAAAATGGTCCTATCCATTCTCTCTGTTCTGCCGATTTGCGCAGGTTACCACGGTCAACAGCGACAAATCACAGTCAAAGAGACTACAGGCTTTTAAAGTTATCGCCTACTTAAAGATGCACTCCAGGATATTAAGCACAACAAATTCGGAAATGTATAGTACAAATTGGATTGAAAACATATCACTGCAAAAACAACAATATTTGCAGGACATAACATATCATACAAAATGGATGACGTACTGTAGTACACAATTTGATGACATAATACACAAAAAAAGGGACCACTTTTGGCTCATGAGTGGCACTTTCAAAACTACTGGCTGAAATTATACAAAAGTCATTCCAGGTGACAGTGTTCAACATTAACAATAATGGCACCCAGCTCTATGTAGGCTACCTGCCCCTATGTAATTCCTGGCTCTAGAAGCTTTTGCAATGTCACCCTACTGTGCAGCTATATCCTTGTTCACTGAGGCTTTACAATTGAAGCTAATACTGTAGAAAATTGGCTGGGATTGTATCCAAATAGACATTGTGTGCATACTAAACACAGCACAGCCAGCTGCTGCTAGGCATAGCCTAGCTGCTGTTCTTGTTCTGGTCCCTGTTCCTTCTAGCACACACACACACACACTATCTCTCTCCCTCTGTCTGTCTCTCCCTCTGTCTGTCTCCAGCTGACGCATAGCGCAACGCAGAAAGAAAAAGACTCTTTTGGGTCTGATGAATGGTTGCGCTGTCGTGCTTTCATCTGCAGTTTTCTCTCCCTGATTCAAGGGACTGACAAGGGAATAGGAGAGGAAGATGCTCCCCGGTAGATTTTTTTTGTTCTTTCTCTTTTATCCCCCCAGGGCTGGTGCTGATGCGAGCAGCCGTCTCCACGGTGACAGACGCTGAGATAAAGCAGGATGGTTTGGCCGGAGCCATCAAAGGATGGCAGCCCTTTCCCCTTTCTCTCTTTCACACTCCAGCTGTGATCTTGTTTTCTCTCTCTACTGCTTTCTATTCCTCTGCTCATATTCAATGTTTTCCTCCAGAGGAAGGCAACCATGTCTGTGTGTAAAAACCCCATGCTGCTGCCCATTCATCCATCCCTTTTCATACAGAATCAATATGTATGTGCTCCCAGCATAGGATTAGGGTCTGGAACTTGTTTGTGTGTGGTTTTTATGTGGCGACAGTGGGAGAGAGGTGTGATACATTTCCCTAGACCCTAGGAGCTCATTAATGGGCACAGGCTCTTTATAAAGAAGGCAAGAGCCATGGGTGGATGGATTGTTGTGCTTTACAACTAACTAAACCCTCCACCTGTACCAGCCAAATGGTTTGTCCTTTCAAGACAACACTAGGCAACCAGGAAGTGCAAAACAAGAACAACAAGCCAAACCCTAATATACTGAGGAATGTGCAGGAATTATTTGTTATTTGGAATTACTTATTTAAGAATCTTGAGGTGAATTCCTGGATCATTTATCAACGAGGGGAGAGTCCGGGGATTTATGGAGTCTGGCGTCACTGTCTGACCCCAGGGCTCTGGATCCACGAGAGAGAACAGACCAGGCTATAAAACATTGTTAAGAGGGGAGGGTGAGAGGTTCAAATGCTGCCCCTCTAACCTCTCTGTGGGGAAAGTGACTAGTGAGTGTCTGGTTCTACTTCACACAGGCAGTCATTCCCAGAGACCTGTATGTGGCCTAACACTCTGAGTAAACACGCATGAAACCGCTGTCCTTCATAACAGCCAGCTGGTAGAACACGGGGCACGCGAGGCCAGCCAGGGCTTCAGCCGGAAACCACCACCACCAGCACCACCCCGCCATGCCCTTCACATACACTTTGAGTAAAACCATGCCCTGATCCAAGCTGACATTCACCCATGGCTCGCGACACTGACAGGGGCCCGGGTGGAAGGCAGATGTGGGGGGCAGCTGTGACTTTGGGCCATTCCACATGTTGGCCGGAGCATCAAAAGCTTGGAAAGAGATTATTTGCTTGCTAACGTCCAAAACAACAGCCCTGTGACAGCTAGCCCAAAACAACCTCTGTAATACCAAAATACAGCTGTCAACATGAAGCATTGCATTCCAGTGTCTACATCCATGTAGTAATATACATTTGTATTTGCTGTACAGATTACGTAATGACAAAGATTACGTAAACACAAATCTATTGACCCTGGATAAGGCTTATGCTAATTGTGTCAATGTAGGTGCTCTGAATAAATGAAATGTGTATGTATTCGTACCCATCATCGAGTCGGATCAGCACGGCCCTGTAGAGCTGGTGCTGGGGGCTGACTGTGTCGGGACCACAGGGATGAATGAAGGGGTGAACGGCAACCAGGGAGAAACCCTGCTTGTACAGGTCCTGGAGCTGGGCTGGGAGCTCCCACACAGACGAAAGACACAGTGTAGATGAGCCATCTGAAAGACAGGGAAAGAGACAGAAATAAGGAACAAGACGAGATACAGTTTCTGTGTGATTGCTTCAGGTGTTTTGTTATTGTAGTGGAAGTTATAGTGATAGTAATGACTGCAATAGTAGTAGTAATAGTAGTCCAGTCGAGTGAATCATACTCAAATTCAGGTAAACGTGATAAACAGAGAGGAGATTCAGCAACTTTTGGAGGACAATGGAATTCAATAAAAAAAGCTTCTTTATTGTTAAAAGTAGAACCAACGCTTTTAGGCTTTTGGACTTCTTTAGGACTTTTAAGACTTGTACAAACAAGAAAAGTCTCATCTAGTTGAACTAATTCACAACCAGGTCAAATAGAGGTACAGAGGGAGGTCAACTAAATTGCCTAAAAGAAAACATCCCTATCAAATGTCATAATACTTTACTGCAGTACAACAACCCAAACGTAAGCAGGACCGGATGTCAGTGTTGATCCACGGAGCGTTTTCAGTTTGTTTTGGCAATTAGCATCATGCCTTTGGCTTTGGCTCCCTGGTCTGAGAGTTAATAAGACAGGATAAAAATCCAATCAAAGCAGATTGTTTAGCTCTATGATACGAGCCGCTTTCTGAGGAGAGCTTTGATGCCTTCTCGACAGGGCTTAACCTCCCAATAGGAGTGGGGAAGACAGACGCTTGGTATTAATGAGATAGTAGACTCGCTGAGTGACCAGATATTTTGACGTGGGGGGATAAGGAAGTGTGTGTGTGGGGGGGGTTATTTTATCTTAGTTTTTCCTTAAGCCTAGTCGTCTCCAGTCGTCTCAGCACAATCCAAGCAGCTCGGCCAAGCCATGCACAACAGCAGCAGACAAAGTGTCAGCCTTGCCTCAGAATCGCCGAGCTGTGGAACAACGAGCAACACAGCTTCTGTCCGGACGGCCAATCAGAACAGAGTGTATGCTAATGAGTGGCGGTTCAGGGAGAGAGAGGGATAGAGAAATGAGAGAGAGAGAGTGCTTGGCCCGACAGTGCCTGGCGGCTGGGCTCCCAGAACGCATTGTGAGGCGACATTTAAACCGGTCCAAACAGCTGGCCCGCGTGGGAGACAGTCAAGACAAAGAGCAGGATGGAGGGAAGGAGGAGGAGAGGAGGGGTGCAGAGTCTCGTTGTCTGTCTGTGTGATCTGTCACATGTGAAACAAGTTGTGGGAATGTCACTGCTGGTAATTGGAATCAATGCGGCATACAGTGGGAAGAAAAAGGCAAAGTCCATGGGAACGCCGAAACAGAAAGTATATGAGAGGTCACAGTCAGGTCAGTGAAGGATAATTTGGTCATAGAGAAATACTCACAGCTTCATATCGCTGTATAGTACATCAATAAGGAAACGCTAACGACAATATTAGCGTAACTCTCACGTTAGGATTTGTGGTTGAATAGCTCCAGCAGAGTGATGGTGGTGTATACATGGGTTCACTCAAGTGAAATGATGAAGTTAGGGTGTTTTCCCAGCCAAACTACAAATCAATAAGACGTACTGTGTCTGTTTCTATTTGCCAATTATTTTTGTTGATAGATTTCACTTTGTTAACTGAGTATCTGTGAATTAATATAATGACTCTACCAGTCTTTAGCACATTACTTAAAGACAATAGTGTGTCTTACAGTACAGTATATCAGGCTTTCCCAAACTCGGTTCCTGGGGCCCCCCCGTGGTTTCATGGTTCGGTTTTTGCCCTAGAATACACAGCTGATTCATCATCAAGCTTTGTTTATTTGAATCTGCTCTGTAGTGCTTGGGCAAAAAACAAAACGTGCACCCAGGGGGGGCCCCAGGACCGAGTTTGGGAAACCCTGCAGTATATCACCAGCATAACAATTGAGGAAAGGGGAGTAGTGGAGCAAGCCTTGTATTGCCAACCAGGAAACAGCAGCATTGTGGAGGAGATGAAAGCTGATTCAGTGAAGATCTGAAGTCTCTCCTGGGCATGGATCCAGAGGTTCATTGTGAAACAGCTACAAAAAAGCCTCTGTCCCCTCAGGCCAGTGACTGGTTGGCTAAAAATATCCCCACATTTTCTCAATCACACACTGTCCTACTCTGCCACAATACAGGAGCTCCCAGAGCTAAAAGGCATGACAGAGAAAAGAAATAGGCCACCCTCGCAAAATGTGTGGATTTCTATTTTTTTTCTGCCCTACTGCCGTTGGAAATGTAATTAATGCTTCTGTGATCTGTGATCTTATTTTCCCGTTTTGGTGATTCACAAACACTTTGTCCTTTCCCTTGAGGCTTGGTTCTGTGTTGTGCATGTATGCTGGGTATGTGAGATGGTGGATATATAATAACTTGACTAGAATTCTCTCTGCTTAGTCTCTGAACACTCCATTGAGATGAGTAAATATGGAATATGGTTTTCATTAGGAGCCAATGGAAACACACCCATAGGGGTCTTCTTAAGTTGCCTCTAATCGCTGTGAGAGCTGCTCCTGAAATCTCATCCAAAAGCCTTTATACGCTGGCCAACAGATATGTATATTTATCATTCAAACATCTCTTTTGAAGCCTAATGCAGGGTAATGCGAGGTCTCACAAACATGTGTGACGCGGTGAGAACGTTTATTTGGTGACAAGACCCTGTAATACATATAAAAATCGCTTTTTTAGGTAGATAAATTCAGATATGATTCTGTGCAGTAAATGTATATCTCAAGTCAATGTTTGCGTTTAATATCGTGAATGTGAGGGCCCTTGTTTGAAAAGCCCATAGTCAGACTAAGGCAAATAGGAAGCCAATTACTTTTCCCTTTTCTGCTTACCCAGAAAATTAATTATCTTACATAAACAGAAGAAAAAAAATATTCTTACCGTGAAATAAAATGAAAGGAAAGGCTCCTGGCTGACAGCCAATAAATTGGTTTTCTGTAAAATTCTGTTAGCACAGAACCATCAAACAAAAGACTCACATTTAACAATGAGTAGAAAACTAAACGTGGGATTTTTTTTTTTTTAACTATCTGCTCCTCCAGGTTAGCTGGGGGATGAATGTTCTCACACAGGCCATGGTCGATGAAAATAAGTTTAACTGTTGGATACTATTTTTGTAGAAATAAACAGTAGTTAGTTTAGTTGATCTTCTTTACATGGCAACTGCCTGGCATTGACCACATGTGCGCATGCATGCATTTTCTTGTGTGTGAGAGTCATCCTCAAGAACAAGCTGATCCAAACAAGTTCCAAATACTTTTCAATCATCTTGGTCCTACCACATTATAGGGATATATATTTCACCTTGGCTGACATAAGTTACAGTGCCTTCAGAAAGTGTTCACACCCCTTGACTTTTTCCACATTTTATTGTGTTACAGTATGAATTTAAAATGGATTACATTTAGATTTTGTGTCACTGGCCTACACACAACACCCCATAATGTCAAAGTGGACTTATGTTTTTAGACATTTTTACAATTTAATAAAAAATGAAAAGCTGAAATGAGTCAATAAGTATTCAACCCCTTTGTTATAGCAAGCCTAAACAAGTTCAGGAGTAAAAATGTGCTTAACAAGTCACATAATAAGTTGCATGGACTCACACAATAATAATGTTTAACATGATACTCCACTCTCTGTACTCCACATGTACAATTACAGTGGGGAAAAAATGTATTTAGTTAGCCACCAATTGTGCAAGTTCTCCCACTTAAAAAGATGAGAGAGGCCTGTAATTTTCATCATAGGTACACGTCAACTATGACAGACAAATTGCGATTTTTTTTTCCTGAAAATCACATTGTAGGAATTTTAATGAATTTATTTGCAAATTATGGTGGAAAATAAGTATTTGGTCACCTACAAACAAGCAAGATTTCTGGCTCTCACAGACCTGTAACTTCTTCTTTAAGAGGCTCCTCTGTCCTCCACTCGTTACCTGTATTAATGGCACCTGTTTGAACGTGTTATCAGTATAAAAGACACCTGTCCACAACCTCAAACAGTCACACTCCAAACTCCACTATGGCCAAGACCAAAGAGCTGTCAAAGGACACCAGAAACAAAATTGTAGACCTGCACCAGGCTGGGAAGACTGAATCTACAATAGGTAAGCAGCTTGGTTTGAAGAAATCAACTGTGGGAGCAATTATTAGGAAATGGAAGACATACAAGACCACTGATAATCTCCCTCGATCTGGGGCTCCACGCAAGATCTCACCCCGTGGGGTCAAAATGATCACATGAACGGTGAGCAAAAATCCCAGAACCACACGGGGGGACCTAGTGAATGACCTGCAGAGAGCTGGGACCAAAGTAACAAAGCCTACCATCAGTAACACACTACACCGCCAGGGACTCAAATCCTGCAGTGCCAGATGTGTCCCCCTGCTTAAGCCAGTACATGTCCAGGCCCGTCTGAAGTTTGCTAGAGTGCATTTGGATGATCCAGAAGAGGATTGGGAAAATGTCATATGGTCAGATGAAACCAAAATATAACTTTTTGGTAAAAACTCAACTCGTCGTGTTTGGAGGACAAAGAATGCTGAGTTGCATCCAAATAACACCATACCTACTGTGAAGCATGGGGGTGGAAACATCATGCTTTGGGGCTGTTTTTCTGCAAAGGGACCAGGACGACTGATCTGTGTAAAGGAAAGAATGAATGGGGCCATGTATCGTGAGATTTTGAGTGAAAACCTCCTTCCATCAGCAAGGGCATTGAAGATGAAACGTGGCTGGGTCTTTCAGCATGACAATGATCCCAAACACACCGCCCGGGCAACGAACGAGTGGCTTCGTAAGAAGCATTTCAAGGTCCTGGAGTAATAATAATAATATATAATAATAATATGCCATTTAGCAGACGCTTTTATCCAAAGCGACTTACAGTCATGCGTGCATACATTTTTGTGTATGGGTGGTCCCGGGGATCGAACCCACTACCTTGGCGTTACAAGCGCCGTGCTCTACCAGCTGAGCTACAGAGATCTGGAGTGGCCTAGCCAGTCTCCAGATCTCAACCCCATAGAAAATCTTTGGAGGGAGTTGAAAGTCCGTGTTGCCCAGCGACAGCCCCAAAACATCACTGCTCTAGAGGAGATCTGCATGGAGGAATGGGCCAAAATACCAGCAACAGTGTGTGAAAACCTTGTGAAGACTTACAGAAAACGTTTGACCTGTGTCATTGCCAACAAAGGGTATATAACAAAGTATTGAGAAACTTTTGTTATTGACCAAATACTTATTTTCCACCACAATTTGCAAATAAATTCATTAAAAATCCTACAATGTGATTTTCTGGATTTCTTTTCTCATTTTGTCTGTCATAGTTGACGTGTACCTATGATGAAAATTACAGGCCTCTCTCATCTTTTTAAGTGGGAGAACTTGCACAATTGGTGGCTGACTAAATACTTTGTTCCCCACTGTATCTGTAAGGTCCCTCAGTCGAGCAGTGAATTTCAAACACAGATTCAACCTCAAAGACCAGGGAGTTTTCCCAATGCCTCGCAAACAAGGGCACCTATTGGTAGATGGGTAAAAAAATACAAATAAAAAAGCAGACATTGAATTTCCCTTTGAGCACGGTGAAGTTATTAATACACTTTGGATGGTGTATCAATATACCCAGTCACTACAAAGATACAGGCGTCCTTCCTAAGTCAGTTGCTGGAGAGGAAGGAAACCGCTCAGGGATTTCACCATGAGGCCAATGGTGATTTTAAAACAGTTACAGAGTTTAATGGCTGTGACAGGCGGAAACTGAGGATGGCTCAACAACATTGTAGTAACACTGTCATGACCCATATATTTACACCTGTTGTGACATACGGTATATTGCGTTATTTTATGGCTGGTTATGACACCTACATACGAATGTCAACACCCACATTTATTCAGATGTGTTTTTTCCCTTCCAATATTTAATCCATGTTGAATTCAGGTTGTAACACAACAAAATGTGGAATAAGTCAATGGGTATGAATAACTTTCTGAAGGCACTGTAAATGTGACATATTATACAACGGGTGGGTCTAATCCTGAATGCTGATTGGTTAAAACCGCATTCCAGCCGGTGTCTATTCCACAAGTTACCACCAGCTAAATCTATGACATTAAAATGCCTATTTACTCTGTTCCATCTGACTGCGCAATTTACTGTTTCATCAGCCCAGCCAGGCAATTTATAAACTTGATCTCCACTATAAAAAACATCTAGACATCATCTCACATTTCTTTTAGACTAACATTTAGTTTTCAACAGCGGAGATTTGTATGAACCTTGCTGTCTCTCTGTCATTTGCAACATCGTTTCAATATTCAAATTCGATCTCCAGCTGTCCCATAGTAATGAACGTGCCAGGAGTCGGGATGAGACGGACAGGTAGGCAACTTTTCTCTGCCAGTCAAAATCATGAATCAGCATCATTTTTATGGATATATATACAAACAACTATCAATAGAAAACTGCTAGTTTGAAGTGATTGTGTTAGCTGTGTTGTTGGCTAGCTCCTCTGAACAACAGTATCCTGACGAGAAAGCACATATTCTATGCCAGGCGAAATCGTCCATCATTAGCTCGTTATGGATGTATTCAAATAAATGTCACTCGAAAACAGCTTAAACAAATGCAAATGCAGCTACTTCGTTGTTATTCTGGCTGCACTGTGACGTGACTGTAAGTTAGCCGTAGTTGGCTAGCTAGCAAGCAAAGGATAAGAATGTTGCAGGCCAATATGGCAATGGAACATTTAGAACGAATGACGGGGTCGCGTCCATAGATACAGAACAAAAAGACTGAACGACTGGGTCAATCAGTATTTGAATATGTTGGTAACCTGTTGTGTAAAAGTGATAATGCCCTCGAAGCCGGTGTTTGTAGGATATATTGGCACAATATATCCTCCAAACACTGGCTTCTCAGGCATTATCACTTAATTATATCATATGAGCTACAGTGCCTTGCAAAAGTATTCATCCTCCTTGGCATTTTTCCTATTTTGTTGCATTACA